CGTGCCGGTACCGGGGCCGTGTCCCGGACCCAGCCGTGCCCCGGACCCAGCCGTGCCGGTACCGGGGCCGTGTCCCGGACCCAGCCGTGCCCCGGCTGGGGGAGCAGCGCCGCCCGAGCGCGGCACGCAGCGAGTCACGGAGCAGACGGAAATATAACACTGTGTATCGCAGCACCTTTTTAAAGGTTTTTAATGGATAATATTTATTCATGAGGAAATGACTGAAAAGGTGAAAAACAATAGATTTTGTGAGGTTTTTTTTTCTTCTTCTTCACGGAGCAGAACCTTAAAACCAACCAAAATTTCACTTTTTTTTTTTTTTTTCTTTTATAGGAAAAGATTTAGACAAAGAAGCCTCCTGTCACAGCAGCCCCCTGCAGCGCTGTGTGTGTGAGTGTGAGTGTGCAGAGCCCCCAGGGCACGGCCCTGCCACCCGGCAGGAGCCCAGGTGTGCCAGCCCCGGGCACACCCACCCCCACACACACACCTCCCTCCCTGGATGCCATCCCCAGTTTAGACTATTTTGTACCCGCCTTTCAAGTCAATACAGTGCAATTGCAAACAGTGTGTTTGTCTGCTAATTATTGTCTGTGGAAACATATTTGTGGAGAAAAACAAAACAACAAAAAAAGACAGGCTTTAGTAGAGTTTTAGTCCCACCTGGGTATCTGCTTTCTATTTTTGTTATCACTTGTAAGAGTGTGACTAGACTACAGTTCTGTATTTTTAAAAAGGAAAAAAAAAGGAAAAGGTAGAATTCTTTTTTAATACTGTGCACACAAAAGGCAAAGAACGAAAGCACTGAACTCAGCTTCAAGCGTTCCTGAGTCTAACAGAGGTTCCTGGTAATGTATGCCCATGCTGTTAACTTTTGGTTCCTATAGAGAATTCCTTTGCTAGCACTGGACGTGTAACCCGTTGTAAATAGTAGCCAAATAATGTCTGGATTTATACTTGATAATAATTAACCCCAGAGCCAAATACCTTGCATGGACAGAGAGGTATTTGGCTTTTCCAGAGTCTTAGGGCTCCAGTTGTCCTGTCCACGGCTCCTGGGCTGCATTGATTTTGGGGATAGACAAGTCAGCAGTTTCAGTTCTCCACCCAGCACAGGATCTGCCTGAGGAGGGAGCAGGACTGGAGCAGGAAAACATTGGCTCATGTGTTGGTACAGACAGCATTTCCTATCCACAGCTCTACACTTAGCTTGGGAGAAGTCTAGCATGAACTAGCAGCTAACCAAAAACTGGAGAACACTGTGTGGTACTGCCAGGAACCTCATCCTGGCACCGACCCCTTCCTAGGAAGGATTCCTCAGAGGAAATTGGTGGCCTGAAGCACAGCCCATCCATCCCCTGCGCAGAGGAGCTCCTGCCTGCACTGCCTTCTGGAGTCCCTTTTGCAGGGGATCGGGGCGGGGGGACACCCCTCCCCTGCCCCCGGCTGGCCCTGCTCATGCACAAACCTCCCCGAGGCCCTCGCAGGGCCCGGGGGACGGGGAGACCCCAGCCCTGCCCTGGGCAGGGGCTGCGCCCCCTCACAGGCACAGGAGCAGCTCCAGGAGTGTTTCAGGCTGGCTCAGCAAAGGGATGGCTTTTTTTAACATCTGTCATAACCTCTCCCGATGTAATATTTATCTGCACATATACACACACACATATAAGTAATTACAGACACATACATGTATAGATAATTACTGCTGATTACACATAGAGCTGCACCCTGCTTTGGCAGCACTCCTGCTGTGAGCGATGGCTGATGCATTCACTCAGAACCCTCCTTAGAATCCTACAACATCCGAGGAACCTTAGGGCTATGGCTGAGCCTCCAGCAGCTGCACCAGCTTCTAGTCATTTATTCCAGTGCTGTAATATGTTACCCAAAACTATGTTCAGTCCTGTTTTAAAAGATTAAAATGCTCTGCCTTTTGCTGCTTCCCGTAGGATGTTATACTGCAGTTAATCTTACCATTACTGAGGCTTTTTTTCAATGTTTTAATTTAATTTTTGCTTTATTTTCATTAACTGTCATCATCTGAGCACCCCTGCCCTTCTAGATCAGAGGCCTTGCTCTGCACCACTCGCCACCTTTGCAACCTCATCTGCACTGGCACAGAGTGAGGGTGAAATGTCCCCGTGCTGATGGGGACAGGACTAAAAATTACAGTCAGGGATTCCAGATGGATTCTTGGTGCTGCCTGATTCCTGATTTAGGGTGGAGTGCTGAACCAGGCACTTCCCATCCCTGCATCTGTAAATAGCCACCCCAGCAGCCCTCATCCAAACCCCTGACAGGGCTTTTCACCGCTGTCCATCGAACCTTTGGAAAGGGGAGTGTAACATTCCAGTTTAAGAGGTTAAAAAGAATGAGGAAAACCAGTTCCAGGAGCTTCTGGCTGGCTGCTTGGGCTCTGTTTTCTTCCAGAAACCAGGAATTGTGATCCTGGCCGGGAGGCAGGGCTCGTGCCTCTGCCATGAGCGGGGCAGGGGCTGCCCCACGCTGCCAGCTCCTCACAGGCTCGCAGGGGGTGCAAACACGCAGAACCAAGGAAGTCTGAGCCTGGAGGAACGGGGCTAAAAGTATTTTTAATGGAGCCATTAGCTTCCCTTATCCTCTAAAGTCGCCCAAGTAAAGCTTCCAAAAGCACCTGGAACTGCGTGGTGGAAAACCTGGGATTTCCCCAGGAGAGCACTGTGCACCCCCAGGAGCTGCAGGGACAGGGATCCAGCCCTGCAGGGACAGGACAAGGATCTATCCCTGCAGGGACAAAGATCCAGCCCTGGAAGGACAGGGATCCATCCCTGGAGGGACAGGACAGGGATCTGTCCCACAGGAACAGGACAGTGACCCATCCCTGCAGGGCTGGATCCCTGGGCTGGAAATGGGGAAGGGGAGGGTGTGCAGCCAGCAGAGCAGGGAGCTGCCCTACAGCCCCTCCATCCTGACCCAAGGGGGCAGGAGGGTTTCCCCAAATTTGTCATCCTTAAACAGCACCGAGGACAGGCCAAGCCACCCCTGAGAATTCCCGAGGCTCATCCCCAGTGCTCCCAGTGCTCCCAGTGCTGCCCTGCCCCCAGCACCCCAAGCCCTCCCGGGCACACGGAGCCTGACCCCACGCAGGGCAGGGCTGCTCCTGGGGCTGCTGCTGCACAGGGGCAGCTGGAGCAGCCCCAGAGCAGCACCTGGAGCAGGGCAGGCTCTGCAACAGCCCCTGAGCCTGCAGAACACCAGTGCTGTGCTGGCACTTCAGCTCAAAGCCTTCCCCCTCCCCTCATTCCTCGAGACTTTTTATAGTTTTAGAGAAGCTCCTTTAAAAGAGGTAAAAATGGATTCTTTGTACAAAAAGCAAGTGGAAGGGCATTATTTTTTCAGATTTTCCTAAAGCAATATAAAAATATCAAAGGAGCAACTCCTTTTTCTGAGCATTTTTTTCCTTTCCAAAGCTTTTTCTGAAGGAAAAATATTTTCACCGATTTTCAGCCTATTCTATCAATAGATTTCCTCTCTTCTCAGCTGGCATCGAGCTGCTAACAGGATTCACACCCAGCTGGCAGCAAATGATTCTTTCACACATAGGCTTTGATTTCCATCTACTTTCTAAAAGCCACCTTTTGCTTTCAGTTTCCTTAAAAAGACAACCACATGGCATTAGTGCGGAATAAACCTCATGGATAATTCAAAATACATCTTTCTTTAATTGGCCAGAAAGATCAGATTTAATCAATGCCACTTGTTTAACCTAAAGCTGTTGCTAATACCTGTCCTGTAACCCAGCACCCGTCATTCTAGTCTAGACAGTTTAAGGTGTGTGCATGAAAATCAGATTAACACCAGCTAAGGAATGCAAATTTCCTTCAAGAGTTTGCTTTTTTAAGTAAAGAGGTTGCAAACATGTTGCATCTTACATGTATTGTAAAGAAAATTCAGGAAATTAAAATCACATTTAATTTATGTGTTGTAACATCCCTTGGACTTTGTAATATTTTAATCTGCTGGACTAAGGCAGAGTTAAAGTCAGCACTCATGCAGAGCGGGTGAACATCAGCTTTGAGCCGCAAACTTAATTCT